TTTTATTTTATTATATATTTATTTTTTTATTTTCATAGTTCTTTCTGCTTTCTACTACGCACTGTCTTTTAATCGAATTTCAACTCTTCAGCAAACTCAATTTCCAATTGAATTTTCTTCACTTTGCCAGCTAATAAGCCAGCTTGGCTTTGGGTAAAGAAGAAACTTTGTCAAGTACTTTCCATAAAATCAAATTTATGCATTACCTGCATTGCGCGACATCTATTTCCCATTTCCCCCGGGTGTCTCAGATATTATCGCTCCCATTGGGTTCGACTCACACTTTAAATAGGCATTAAATTGATACAGCAAAAAGTTTGCCACTCTTTTTTTTTGCAGCTTTCGCACTTGTCCTGGCGCACGTTGCAGCCCTCCCAATGGAGTTGCCAGCCCGTCGCGCAGTCTAATCGCTTTATAACTTCTAACGCAGTTTATCTGCGCCGTTGCTTTCGCTCGCCCGACCGCCCTCCTGCCCTCTCTCCGGCCGCCACGAAGGGTTCAGCCAGGAAAAGTTATTGTTAAGTCTATGAGAACGTCGCTCGCACGCACTAAGCACTTGATATGACAACGTCCTCACTTTATCCCACCTCCGCCACCTCCGCCACCTCCGCCACCCCAACTCCTTCAGCCCTCCAGCACTGCCAGATGCTAAATCTTCCTACAAAGTGTTCACTCTTTCCTTCTGCCTGTCTGCATCTGCATGGATTGTGTATCGCGTGCTTTGTATTCCTCTTTTTTTTCGCACTTTTTGCGTTGGTCTTTCGGTATTTACAGCATTTCCAGTCTGGCTGGCATTCCCTTTGTCCCGACCCAGCTATGCAGGCGGAAATTATTGTCGGCGACTTCATGCATTTAGTTTTTATACTACATTTTTTTCACTATACCCTGAGCCCATTGAAAATGCATAAATAGAGCATAATAGGTTTTGTAAATGTTTATAAAAATGGGAAAAAATCCGTCTTTATGAAGTGTTTTATATATATTCTTGGGCAAATGACTTGATTGAGATATATATCTGAATATATCTAGACATATATCTAGCCTCCGTTTTTGCATATTTAATAATGATTTTTATAATATTTGAATGACACTAATTAGAATAAATACAATATTAATAATGATACATGATGATCATGACAATGGTTGATAAGCTATCACACCTTATGATAATAACCATTAAGATCATGATAATGCTACAGATAAGGAAGTAGACTATAAACCTGATAATGATATTGTTTATGAGGATGATAATGAGAGATAATAATGGTGAACATAATAATGAGAATGATAAAGAATTCGATTAATGACGTTAATGACGAATCTTAGGGTATTACTGAGTCGTTCACACTTCCGACTCTTTACCTCGCCTTTTCGTTACTCCTTTAGCAGATGCCAAAAAGTTTTCCACGCCGCCATACAAAAAGTTGCAACACTTTGTGGCATGTTTTCCATTTTTGCTCTCTTTTCGCTTCTTTCGCCTTTTCCGTAAGTTTTGTCCGAAGCTTGATTCGTTTTTCTCGTTTTTGCCTTGCGGAAAAAGCGTAAACAGATTTATTTATTTATATATTTATTTATCGCGATTAGTTGGCAACGCTTTTTTTTTTTTTTTTTTGCTTTTGTGTCTCCCGCAAATGGCTATTCACATTGGCGGGAGGGAAGTACCCTGACCGGAATAAACTTACTCACCTGGAACACAGATTAGCCCAACCCAAAAGGCGATGAGAAGTGTGTTATTATTTTTACAACTCAATGACTCACATTGATTCACAATAGGCGAAATGGCCGGCCGATAAGATAACCAACAATTCATGTACATCACCTGCGAGTGTTATCAGATAGGCAGCCAACACTTGTCTGCAGGTATATATTGACAATTGCTGTTAGGAGTGGGCACAGTACAATTGTTCAGCTCGTGGAATTAAGAGCTTCAGTTAACAGTAAAGGGAATTGCAAAGAAGTTAAAAGTGAATACAATGCCGCCACCACATCACGACGATCGTCTCTTTGGCATCCACTTGGGCCTGCACTTGGGACACCATCATCAGCACCACGGACACCATGGACCACCACCGCCGCACCACCACCATCATCATCATCATCATGGACCACCGCCGCCACCGTTCTACGATCATCATCACCATCATCATCACGGCCCACCGCATCATGGACACTATGATCATCATCATGGCCACTATGATCATCATCATGGCCACGTTGAGCATCATCATCATCACGGACCACCACATCATCATTGCTAAATGTTGAAATGAAGAGCAATGGGTCAAAGATGCATCCATACATTCTATCCATTGTGAACTGCCTGTGAAGTGAATTTATATAGTATTTTATATACAAACACGAATTTTATTTATTCAAAAAAAAAAAAATATACAAAAATATGAAATGTGAAACTATTCCATTGTTAATTGTAAAAAAAATAAAATAAAATAAAATAAATAAATAAGTAAATAACACACTTTATAGTACATGTATATTTATTTAAATCATATATGGGAAAAAAATAATATAAACAATAAAATAATCCATTGAAAGGAAAAATGAAATGTAAGATAAACCCCATCTTGCGTAAAAAAAAAAAAAAAAAAAAAAAAAAAAATAAAAAAAATAAAAATTATGACCATTACACAAATTACGCATTCAAAATAATTGCAGTTTACTAGAGTATTCAGCTTTCAAATATTGCAATAAATACTTAAAAATAAGTTAAGTTAATAGGTTTACCTATTGCGAAATTATAAAATGCGCAGAAACTTTTGCTCATGTTGCATTTAAGAAAGATACAAGATATCTTATCATTTGTTGACGAGTAAAAGCACTAGCAATTAAATAATATATTTATACATATATACAAATATATATATGTTTGCGTGTGTGCGTGTAACATTAGTTAAATAATTAAGCTCAATAATGAAGAACAATGAGCACAACCCCTGCTAACCACGCCTGAAATCAGCGAATTAGTCGCTGTGACAATTCAATTAGGGTGGACCACGTGTGAACCCCCACGAGCTAATCGGGCACTAAGCGCATAAATATAAATGAAATTACATATCAATGAGCCATACAAATATTGGCCAATTACAAGCCATTAGAACTGTTTGTCGCAAATTGCTAATTAGCTGCAAGCAACAAATGTGTAATTAACTAGTTTTTATACATGAAGAAAAAAATAAAAATACAAATAGCAAAGCAGGGCAACTGTCATAAAATGCAAAGTGTTGGCCATAGAGGCGTGGGACGTTGATTCGACACCTGGAAATATTGGTAATTAAAATTGGCCAGCTCGAGTGTCTAGTCGCTGGTTCGCTCACTCGCCTCTGACGTTGTCTAATAATGTTGTAAAACACGTTGCTGTTAAATAAAAATGAAATATTCATACGCCCCGAAGGCAGCAGCAGGCGTTCAACTTTATTGACAGACGAAAACCGAAATGAATGGAGAAAAACAAAAAAAAATATATTGTAGTATGGTTTATATGGAAACTCTCGATGACAGGCCGCGCTAATGGAATCGGTAGCATTTCTCAATCTGTCCGACTGTCAATTAAATATGAAAATTATTTTTGACCAACCCACCAGACTAGGCTAGGCTTGCAATTTTTCTTTGACAATATCATGCGACAGGTTTCAAATTGAAGGCTGCTAAAATGGATCTAGTCACACACATCACACACACGCATACACTCTCTATCTGTCTCTCTCTTTATAGACAATTAACGTCTCAATTCATAATTGTCATCGTATTTTGGTCGCTCTTAATTAAAAAAAAAACTTCAATTATTTGATATGCCCACTAATGGAGTTTGAATCCCCCTGTCGCTGTCCAAAAAGCAAACGAGCTTTTGCTATATATCTTAATTGTTATTTGTATTTAATTATACGGCAAGTCAACAGTAAGAAAAAACTTTGCCTGTTTGTTTATAAATAGAAATCCATAAATGAGCAGGGAATGAGTTTTGTTTTTTCGTTGATTAAATAGGAAATTGTTGATGTATTGATGTATTGATTGCATAAAGCTTTCAAGTTTGACTCTTTTATCGTAAGCCATGGTAAACAAGTTGACCATATCTTATGTGTTTTAAGCTTGTTGTGGCACAAGTTGGCAGCGCCATAAAAATGAATTAGAGATAAGACTGCTTTAAATTATCATGATTTACAATCAATAATGATTTGAGATACGTGTTTTTCGAGGAAGATAAATAAACATAAAATAGGTAATAAGTAAATAAACATAAATATCAAATTTTAAAGCTATATATTAATAAAGCTAATGATAAATATGTTGTCATACGGCATATGTAGAAGTATGCGTAGGTATGAATATAGTTGGAAGTAGAGCAAAACTATCGATAGTAACTCATGCGATAGTTTTGATACTATCTAAGGGGCCAATGATCAATTTAACAGCTTTTTGTGGAAAACTTTTCAAATTAAATAAATAATGTAAAACAAAATAGAAGCTTAATTATCTATTAATTAAAATGAATAAATATAATAAATTAAAATTAAATTTATTAATTCATGAAATCAATTAATTTCTGCTATAATACTAAATCCAATTCAATTTGGAGTTAAGTAATTTATGTTCCTTAAAGTCGCTGCTTCCCTTGCTTTGTTTTTATTTCCAAATTTCGAATCTGTAATCAATTTAAGCAAGCAGACAAATACCATAAAAAATCTATAAAATAGTACTTTCCACTACACTAGCGCATCCATTAAATGAGACGGTAAAGTCATATGAAACAAAATCCATCGACCTATCGTAACGTAACTAACGATGGCGCCATCGATGGTTTTAACAACTGTTGAAAGTCATTTGATTGCTATTTCTTAGCTAGTTTTATGTCTCTTCTAAAACATTATTATTATTAATCGGTTTATTCCAATTTTGGTATCTAATAAAAACTTTTTTCTTTTCTTTTCAGGTATGTTTTATATTGCTATTATAATCAATACACACGACTGAGCGGATTCCCCTATAACACTAAAAGGTTTAAATACTTAGGAAATACGTAATTTCTACACATATTTCCATACTTTAATAATCATATCCATATATTACCCAATACTCAGTACTTGATAATAATCTAATAATCATATATCTTAGCTAGTAGTTTGAACTTAAGCTGAGCAATATCTGCACATTCTAATAATCATATATCCCGGCTAGTAATCCGCACTTAAGTTTCACATAATACTTTAATCTAATAATCATATCTCTAACTATGCACATACACGAAATGTTGTCTGTAGTCAATGCCATCATTAGCCTAATAATGCCGCCGCATTGCAATCAAATTCGAGACCAATTTCAAGAATTCAGAACTCACATTATGACATTTGACCAGCTGGGGGAGTGCACATAAAACAATTTAATAAACCCATGAAAAATCTAAAAATGCGATAAGTGTGCCCACAACAAAAACTCAAACTCAAACTCTGGCCTCACTCACACACACACACCCACACACACACGCACACATATGTGGTAATAAAAATTCCTTAAATAAACATACGAGGCGAGTGAGCTAGTGAAAGGGGCATGAGGAGAGAGCTCAGTGTAATGGGACAAAGCCATATCAAGTACGCGTGCTCGCAACTATCTGGCCAATGTAATCAGCCAAGAAGCTGAGACCCCAACAAAGATTTCAGACTAGCAGTGAGAGAGGGAGAGCGAGAAAGGGAGTGGGAGGAAGAAAGAGAGAGAGAGAGAGAGAGACACACAAAAGCAAGCGCTGCCGCGTAATGTCGCTTGTTAGTACTAATGATGGGTAACTTCTCGACATGCTCGCTTCTTGTGCCCCAATACGCTAGCAGATGCTTAGTTTTAATAAATAAACATATGCTCGCATATGCACGATATGCAGATACTCTATAAGTTGTGCTTATAGACTATGCTGTGTCTAAACTGGAAATAAGAAATGGAAAATGAAAGAAAAGTTATGTTAGTAAAAAATTCTGACTAAGTCTGAATGTTTAGTATCTAAAAATTTCAATATTTCCATAGAGAGATCACAATGAATGAAATTCAAGATGAAGTATATATTTCTTATCTATGTATCAGTTTTATATATACTATATACATATTGTTTACTTTCTAGAATTATCTATGTATATATAATTAATATTTTTATCGTTTTCTATATATCGAACCTTTTTCTATATATGTGGAAATCTTTTGATATACATTAATCGCTTTTTCGAGCTGTCTAGCCAATTATCAACTGCATTTCGCATCTCAGCAATAGTTTTTATCTCTATATATTTCTCGATCATATATCCATGATCTAGACTCTTGCAATACCTACTATACCCCATATAAAAAGCGAAATTTCATAAGTAACTCTTAAACCATCTTAGAGTGGAAATACATGCTTGAAAGTTAGTTGAGTCCATAAAACTAAGCTCTTAAGTTGACTTAAGTCATTGCAGCTCATTTGTGTGCGCAAATAAAATCTTTTCAAGCTGGCTTTGCAAGCTTCATTACATAGTGATTAGGCCCAATTGGAGTGTAGTGCATGCAAACGCAAAATAAATTTGTACAGCTGCGATAGAAGCGGCGCGATATGCCGCCAAAATGTGCCCAGGCACAACGATAGCGATGAGGCGATGAGGATGGCGATGCGGATCGGGATGGAGATGGCGTTGTCCATTCCGCATGTATGTCATAAATTGTCTTGGCCAACAGCAACAGCAACAACAACAAGTTTTGGTAACTATGATGGGGCCTGCATTGGAGCAGTCTAACTGGGGGCACGTTCAGGTCTCAGGCCAACAGCCAGGCTGTATCCAGGTCCACATCCACGTTCCGGTCCCGGTCCAAGTCCAGGCTCAGGCAGTTGCGTCTAAGCACTAAAAATTAATAGCCAGCATAATAAGCGGCATTTTATGACAAGCGTGCACCTTAACGCAGCAGTTAGCCACGCCTCACAGCCAGCTAGCCCCTGGCCCACCCCGTCTCTCTCGTACCACCCACCAATGATTTCTCATGGCGTCGCACGGCAACAGTCGTTGGGTTCAGGTGAGGGATCAGCTTTTTTTCTGCCAGTGCTCACTTGAAAATTACGCAAATTGAAAGTTACATCGTTTGGGCTGGTGACGCGGATCACCGAAATGGGCATTAGGCAGCAGGAGGTGACCAGTGGTACCCACTGTACGTAGTACGTACCCCCAGTCTAGTCAGCCATACAAAGTTATGAGCTTCATATTGGCGCTACAAGATTCCGCTTTATGATAATTACACGCCGTCCCCAGCGTCATTTTATTTATATGTGTGAGAGCCAGACAGACAGAGAGGCAGAAGCTGTGGAAAATTGAAAAACTT